TTTATTTACGTCAAAAACTCTGTGTGACTTGTTATGGGGAGAAGTTAATTTGAAGTTACACTTACTGTTCTTTAATATCTTAAAAGTACTATTTAGAATCTACGAAAAGAAAACCGAAAAACTGATAAAACTTGAAAAAATATTATTTAGGAGGCGATACATGGCAGCTGGCAAGAGGATGAGGCAAGACCGTAAAGCTAGCCCGCACCAAGAAAATTGGAAACCGTTACTACGAGAAAGTCTGTGCTACTAAATAGCACCACTAGATACTTTCTCGGATACTTACGTATATACGGTATAATGTAAGTAATATAGACGAAGTAACGTAATGCTGCGGAAAAATGAATCTGATTCTTTGATTCTGAAAAGAAATACACGTTTTGGGGTCTCCTGATACCGAGAAGTGTTGTTTACAAAACGTCCGTTCGTCTGTCTGTCCGTGAACACCACTAGCGCCCAAACCGTACGGAAGATTTTTTTCGAAAAGGTTATTCCCCAGTTGATCCGGCTCGCCTCAAAACGCTGCTTTTTAAAATTAGTGGTGCTATCACAGCACACACTATTGGAAACAGTACGTAATATTGAAGTATTGCATTTTGTGCGTAACTACAAACACAGCTACAATTAATTGATAACATCCATCCAAACTAAGCGCCTTTACTGCATATCTGCAATCATTTCGATAGCAATTATTTCTTACTTTGACAAAATGAAACAAACAGGAATACATTTGACTCATATTCATAGCAAATTATACAGAAAAGGGCAACGCATTGTTGCCAGCGCAGCGTTGTCAAAATTGTGTGCATTCTCTTGGCTAATAATACCGACACAGTAATTACAATATTGGCAATTAACATCAAAATAATTACGGAAATTCTGATTGCTTACTCCTGAATTGCCTTCCGTCGTAAGATAAGTTTCGATAGTGTTTCATCGTTTTTCTTTTATTCAATTAGTGGATTTTTGGGGGTCAGATGACATTAAATGATATATAACATACTTCAGCGGGCACTCTGAGGAGTAATTTATAAAAAATGTTGCAAAGTTCATCTCAAACTGAAGTACTGGAGTTACACCACCAGCTGGGCTTAAAAAACTTATATATCTTTTCACCGTTAACATCTCGACGATCGACAAGTAGCTTGTAAATTATCGATGCCACATTATTGAGATGTTTCTATTGAGCATTGCTCATTGCTTAAAAAGAAATACGTCAATACTTTGGCAATACAAATTGAGTAAAAAGTAAAAAAGAGAGAAAATAAAAACAAAATTAATATATGCATTTTTAATAGTAAATTATAATTAAAATTAAATTAATTATTTTTCATATATTTCTTTCAATTTCTCTTGTGATCCATAGTTGGTGTGTAACCTGTACATATTTCATTAATTTCAAGCGAAAATTCGCAAAAAATATCGGTTTTTTTTCAAAAAATTGTACATGATCTTTTTAAAAAAGCTAATTTAGTACAACAGACATTGTCTAAAGCAAAAAACCTCAATCTTCAATTTTGAAGTTTAGAATTTTTTTTGCAATATCCGAAAAACGATCAATACCCGAAAATGAGACTAGCGCTATATTTCTTACCATTCCTTATTACATGTATGAAAAAAAATTAAGGAAAAATTGGAGAGGATTTTCAGAAAAATTTTGTGTGTAAATTTCAAACGCAAAAACTACTAGGTTGTTTTTTTCTTTTTCTTTTTAATTGCACATGTCCTTTTTTGAAGAGCTAATTTTGTACAATCAATTTTGTGTGAGACAAAAATCTATATCTCCAATTTTGAAGTTTTAAATTTTTATTTATTTTCAATTTTGGGTAAAATCGGAGATTTTAACGAAAAAATGACCAGCACCATTCTCTTAAACGTCTTTTGGACTATTCAACAACACAATTAAATCAAAATATTTGGAGCCAGTTTTTTGAAATTTTTGAAAATATATAAGGTGTTTCATGTAAAGTATCCTTCACAATTAAAATTTCGGCTTCAAACTCCAATGTTCGCCACACCAGTTAGAACAATTGGGAAATATTATTTTGGAGAAAATCGGCAGAACGGGTTATTCACTAGCGTTGAGCACAGACGGACGCACAGACATACCGAAAGACGATTTGCCGTCAATCGATTTTTCGGACACACAAAACATGGATTCGATTTTTTTTTATTACTCCAATTTTTACTTATTTGCATTACGAATTCTTCATAAGATGCGAGAGCTATCTAATGGTGCGCTAGAAAATGCCGAAATTTCGCCCGAAAAAACCTTATAGCTGGGTTCCGGTAACGAAGACGTGGATACATCTTGTTCCTAAATTTAGAAAAAAAAGCGCTAGCTCGTGGTGTAGCCAGAATCCATGTTTTGTTGATTCTTCACAGTGAAAAATCGTTTGACTTTTTTGGTTTAACAACGTTCTTCAAAGTTGATATTCCTCAATCGGTCTGAATGAACTCGTGGCTTTGAGAGATTCAAAGGGATATTTTGATTTTTGAGGATACTTCACATGAAGCCTCAAACACATTTTCAAAATTTTCTCAAAAATGGCTCCAATTTTTTTTATTACATTTTGTTGTTGAATAGTGAGAAGGACGTTTAAGATAATGGTTTAGATCAAATTTTTGTTGAAATCCCCGATTTTCGAAAATTGCAACAAAAAAATGAAACTACAAAATTGTAGATAGAGACTTTTGGCCCACAAAATTGTGTTGTACAAAATTAGGTCTTTAAAAAAGATCATGTACATCTTTTGTAAAAGTTAGTCGTTTTTGCGTAATTTGCGATTGAAATTTACAATTTCTTTTTCTTCGTAAAAAACGCTCAAACTTTTTCCTTTCAATTTTTGCCACATATGTAATTAGGGACGGTAGGAAATTTGGTGCTTGTCCTATTCTCGAGTATAGCTCTTTTTTTCGAAAATTACTAAAAAACATTTTTAAAGTACAAAATTGAAGATTAAATTTTTTGTCTCGGGCAAAGTCTGTTGTTCAAAAGCACCTCAAAAAATATGTTCAATTTTTTGGGAAAAAAGGGAAGTTTTTTGCGTACCTTGCGCTTGAAATTTACGATTTTTTCCCTGAAAACCGCTCCAAATAAAAAAAATGTTCTCTACATATGTAATAAGGAACTGTAAGAAATATCGTGTTAGGCCCATTTTCGGGTAATGCTAGAATTTTTCGAAAATTATAAAAAATTCAAAACTACAAAATGTCAAGTTGTCAGTAAAATTCAGACATATGCCATCTTCAGAAGCGTATTTCAATCCAATCTTACAACAAATTTGAATCCATTTTTCAGAAAATTTAGAAAATGTTCCAGGGGCTTCTTCTAAACAAGTATCCCGAAATTTTAAAGAATCTTTCTTTAATAAATAAATTTCTAAAAATTCTAGAAATAGTTTAGGTGCTAGTGTTCATGTTGTAGACAAACCGATGGACTTTTTTGGGGGGGAGGAGGGAATCACTATTTTGGCATCAGGGGGCCACAAACATGCATTTCCTTTGAAATCAGGAAATAAATTTTCCGCGGCATTACATAACTTTCTTTACACTACGTATATTTCGCCGTATAAAGGTATATTTTCACGTAAGTACAACTAATGTTGTGATGCAGAAAATAGCAAAAGCATTTTCTGACGACACCCAGTCGGAGCACAAAAGAGCCGTCAGCCTCGTTTTGCGCGCCGCATGTGTCCGGCCCCCTGCAGCCGCCCCGAACAAATACCCACGCGTAACCGGCGGCACGAAATGGGGGAGGGGGGCATTATATTTTGCCCAATTTCACTTCACGACGCGTTATTCCTCCGATTTTGACGATTGATGCGGTATCTCTGTATTTTATCAAATTAATCGTATAAATTGTTGCTCCTAATAAGCTGGAAAGAGGGTGGGGCAAAACTGAAAACCTAATCCAGAGCAGAGGAACTAGAAAACTTACAAGTAAGAGAACGTCTTCAGAACAAACTGTTCTTAAGTCCCAGTAGTTTCCAGTCCTCCAATACAAGAAGAAAACTTAAAGAAAAAATTTGAGCAGTTTTTGAGAAAAAAAAAGGCTGTTTAAAATTTTTTTTCCAAAAAATTACACAAGAACTTCTCAATTTTTCCAAAAATTGTACATGGCCATGAAAATTCAGAGGCTTCAATGAAAACCATATCTTTACATATTTATTAAGTGTAGTTTTTAATAAGAAAACGTTATGAAAAGGTTCTTGCACAGCATTGGCCATTTGTATGCAGGGGTTACATCTTAAAAATTCACTCTTTTGTTTACGAAAACACTCATCCAGATAAGCGAAAAATATTATAGACCACATGCAAGTTATGTAAATGTACCAAAGACACCTCATAACAAATGGTAATAATGTCACATTGTATGTTAAAATAAAACGATCCTAACATTTAAAAAAATATATTGTATATCATGATTCTAGAGATAAATATGCATTAATAATTTATTTCCGATACTCTAATATTGAAGATTTTACATGCATTTATATAAACAGACTTCATTAAAAATAATCATATAAAAAGAACAATAGTTAAAAAATTCTTAAATTATTACATGGTTCTGAAATTTCTAAACTCAACATTTCAACTCTGAGGTTTAGTCATCATCAGGTATAAGTCACAATAGGGAGTATGCATGCTCCATAGGTAGAAGCAATGCGGAGCTTGCTTATTTCCCACTGACTTACCTGAAGGAAGAAACATCATGAGCTTAAGAAGTTTTAGAAACTTGTAATGATACAAGGACATTTTAACTGTTATTATGTTGATATAACAGTTTTTAATGAAGCCTATTTATATAAATGGTTGTATAAACATTTTGAAAAAATCATAAAACAAACTAGAAACAACCTATGATGAACCATTCACATTCACATATACACACACTGTTCACACTAAACATGATCAAAATCAAGCTTGTAAATAACCACAACCAGGCAAAGCTTCATGTTTTTTAGTTCAGAAAGAAAAGGGGTGCATAGGATTAAATAAAAATAATTTACACAAAAATATATTTTTATTATGTTTTTCAGAAACTGAGGAAACCAATACTTCATTAAGCACCAAAGCTAAGGAAAAATACACACTATGAAGTTCTGCAACATTTCTCAAATAACAATCAATCACAAAAGTTATCCGTCTTTTGTAGCAGGTAAACACTCCTTCCTTTCCACTTCTTCAATTACATTCTTACACTTTTCTAAAATACTTTTAATGTACAATAAATAAATAAATAAATACAAATTCAGATAGATTCTAAATATCTTAAAATAATTACAATATCAATGTCATTGTGATTACCCACAAAGTGGTCATCACTACCTTGCAAAGAGTAGAAACCTGATTACGATAATTATTACTTTACAGAACACTTCACATCCAAGTCATTGTAATGTCACTACAAATATTCTTTCGTGTTAGGAAAAAATACTTGACGTTCATAAGAAAACCGATATTCAGTTCAAAAAGTTACTTCTCAATGGTACATGTTACAAAAAAGTTCATCTTCGTCATGGGAAAGCATCAAAGGTAAATTCCTCAAGGGTCATGGCAAATTTACCAGCCACTCCTATGAATATCTGAAGGAGAGCTAATCAATTTTTTATAGTATGCAAAAAGAATTATCAAAAATTTAAATAAAGTTAATTGATAAAAATAGAATTACATGGTACATTATTTCTCAGCATTTTTGATATTTTTTCTGTTTGGTACAAAAGGGTTCTGGCTCTTTCACCTGCACCCTTTGGGATGACAGTGAACTTAGGAACGTATTATGCATTAAACACTTCCATAGAATACAATACAAGAAAGGAATATGTAAGAAAATCATGTGCAAAACCTCAGCTGAGTGACTTTACGTTATATTGCAAGTGCTAAAAAGAAAATGCAACAAAATCATACGTACGTGCATAGGAGGGGCTTGAGAAATTTGAAAGGGCTAGCACTATGTAATACAATTATTTACTTCAGAAAAAATGAACAATTCCAGATTTTCCCGTTTCTTAAATTGACAATTAATAGTTGTGTTTCAAATGTTGCTAATCTCACTTTTTTTAAAAATTTTATTTATCATCTTCAACTTTTACTCATCTTTCAACTATTTATAGTTAAAATGATGGAAAAGAGATTCTGGAACTCAAGAAAACTTGCACAGATGATCTTCTCCCCCATACATCACATACAGTTTTTACTGGGTTTTTTTGTTTTTGGCAAAATAAATCTAAATCTAGATAGCCAACATTTGGGGAAGATGCTTCCCAAACCATCTGGTAATCCAGTGGTTCAACATTAAATCAATAGAATTTTATGATATTGAATCACTAAGTTTATAATTTAATTTTCTCAATAGTATATTTTCTTTATTTCCCAGTTAAATATGTTCACTGTAGATAAAAAGTTTAATGAAAAAGGGGGCCCCTCATTTTAAGTCACACACATCTATCAACAAAATAAAATTGATATGCAACAAACCCATCCAGACTTTTACCAACTCCAGATCTGAGATTTTACAATTTAAATGATAGAAGCCATTTTATTCAGAAGAATTTCCCTTTTATTTTCGTAATTCCATCTCGCCTAAATTTATTATCAATGTTTATTATTCCTTAGTTTCGGTACACTTACTTTTCAAATTAATCCTGAACAACTTTCAATAATAAAATAATTTCAAAAACTTTCTGCCACCTGATCTAATTTACATTCACTCTTACGCTTAGTGCTTAACATCAATATTAATTTTCTCTATGTGACTGGGAGCAGATGACGAAGATATTGTTTCCCATGCATGTTAAAATAAAATAAGTGAATAAGAATGTCAATGTGACTAGTAATTACTTTACTTCAAAAGTCAATTTTGCAATGATTTTTACAAGCATGAATAAAGATGCTTTAAAAAATAACACTATTAACACACCCACATTTTCACCAATGCGAAGAAGTTAATTTTATTTGAGAATGACATTCAGATAAGATTGATAAATCAAGGCTTCATTGAAAACAACAGTTATCAACACACTCAAATATATCGTAAGCTGCCCGCAGCTTATATCTTCTTTCCCCACTCACTTCATCACTTATAGGAAGGAAATGCAACCATTCATTTCATTCTAACAATGGAAGAAGTGCATTAGCATACAATGTATCACAACACTGAACGTTTTATGATATATAATGCAATACACACTTCTACTCTACGAATTCATTAATTCTCTGCAGGATAGAAACTACTCTATCCTGCTTCACTATATTTAATTGAATGGTCTGAGAACTTGAACCTACTCTTTCTTTTCACCACTCTTGAATAAGTATTGCCTTGCCATGCCATAAGCCAAGCCTGCTGTAAGACAGGCCACAACCGTGCCTTGGGCAGCAACTCTCAACTGCATTAGAAAAACTGATGTTGACATGCCACCACGATGCTTATACTTGTAAGCACCATAAGCCACCACTCCAGCAAACCCTAATAAACCTGCAAAAATATGACAAAAAGTTCCTATAAATACTGCTATTTCATTCTAGTTCAACTACAGAATAAAATATCATAATTTTCATTTACCTATTGGAACAAACGGAGCTTCCTTCGCTTTCCGAGCCAATTTCTCAGAATGTGATTCATCATCAAACCGTACTGATGAGCTTGCCATTACGACAGGATCCTTCACCTAGAACAAAATTAAAATTTAGGATGGCAATTTTAATAAATCTCTAACAGCTAATCTAATGACATCTAAAAGTTTTCATCTAATCATGATTAAAAATTAGCATTAAAACGAAACCAATACCTCATCAGTCATGATTAATTTATCCACGCCAGACCTAAAAAAATAGACGAGTTATTTGACAATAACGTCGTTTAATGAATGAATGTAAAGAAAAAGATGTAAAGACACTGAAAATATTCTCAGAAAAGTTAATTAGAAATTGAAAGCCACGATTTTTCTTTAATTCACCACCGATTATTATACTTCGTAATTCGCAAGTACGTAATAGGTAGTATCTAATTAAGTATGCACCAATCTACAAATGTTCTTACTACTTCTATCACGACCAGATCACGCCCATCCGGCAGACGCAAGGCCGCATTGTGTAATGTATAAATACCGAAAAATATGATGTAACAATTTGCACCAACGTTAAAATATACTACCTCTAATGAAAATCTGCAATACTTCACACGCACGCAGGGAACATCAGATGACACAAACTACTAAATGCTGCTAAAGCACTGGAGAGAAAGTGACGATGACGATCTTTATATGCGCGACACGAAAGTCGGTACGTGCTTCTATGAACGTACAACAATCTAAATGAGTAATTTTAAACTTTTATTTTTTAAAGAAAATAGAAGAATATTAATATTAAAACAAAAATAGCTTAAATAATGTTTACTTACCCTACTGCTTAGGACACCAAGCTAATATTTGAAACACTTTTCAACCAATTCCGAAGTGGTTCGAGGTCAGGCTGATGCCTCGTGCAAATCAGCACGTCGTCAGTTTTCGTTCGCTCACGCAATGCCCTCACTGCCCCACTCGTTACATCCGCTGGTGCTGCAGCGCTGTGTGGCTGTCTGTGTGCCAGTGGAATCTGATTGGAATAGTCTAGGCGGGCAGTAAGGTGGACTGTTCGTTCAGTTCACGAAAAATGTGCCCTTTGCCTTGCGCGAAATTGTCTCTCCCGCTACGATTTCCGTGAGCACGAAACAGCTGATCTGCAGCAATAAGCGGAGAAGAATTACGTTTCCTTCCACATGCTCATTCGCTCAGCTTCTCTCAATCACTCTCAACTGACCTTCGTCGCGGCATGCACAACTGATATAAACGACAGACTTGCAACGTCACTGTCAAGACTCATCCTTCGTTGCCATATGCTGAAGCAACTCTCCATCCTTGTCTTTTTGGACCAGTTCCACATGAGTGACGTTGCATTTATTACGACATTCTGATGACTTCAGAATTTCCTTGCTACTTCCTTCTAAATACTAGCGACCCTTTTAAATGTATCGGGTCGTCAAATGTTCTCTGATTATTTGCAAATATATAAATGTAATATTAAAGTTTGAAAATTATACGTAGGAATTTTTCCTGATTCTTTCCTTTTCCATCAGCTCTTTCCTGTGACACTTCTCATTATCGTTTTATTTTAAACTCTTTCTGCAATCTGAATTTTCAAAAAATATAAGAGAGAATTGAAACATTTGCTCCTCCGTGATATAATATTTTATCACTTGTTTACATTCTTCTGCAATGAAATTATGTCAGCTCTTCATGTGGTGGAATTTGAAAGTACCTAACAAAAGAACACATTTAATTGAGAAATACAAATACTCATTAATAATTAATTTATGCATGTATTTATAGAGGCAAAAAAAGGTTCAATTTTTCCAAAATATGAGAAGTTTTCGTGCACTTTTGCGTACAATATAATAAGTTTATAAACTAATATTGTTTTCTCAAAATGGCTTCATTTTTTCTTTAAATTTTCTCATGTATCAAAGGACGGTAAAATATGTGCTAGTTCCATTTTCGCATTTTTGATAACTGCAACCATTTAACATTCCAAAACTATAAAGGTGAAGGGAAGGGTAAAGATTTTTGTCTAAAATAAAATCTGTTCTAAAAATCAGATCATTTAAAAATAACATGTGCAATTGTTTTGAACTTGTGGTGCTAAAACAGCATGTACTTTCTCGCGATTTATAGTAATGGTTATGCAATACTATTTATACTACAATTTCTTTCCGAATTATTTTTTGTAAAACTCATTTGAAATCGTAGAACATTTGGTGCGAAAAATAAGCATAATGCGAGAAAGTAAAATAATTACAAGTTAATAAATAATACGATACTGATAGCTTTGGCAAACAAATAGATCGAAAAATATATAACTATTAAACACTATGGTATTGTAATATTTTACAAATATAAAATGGGATTCGTGTTTATTAGAACAAACGAAAAGTAGACGTCATTCGCGCGTTTTGTTATCTGTGCGATGTTACAACAATGGGTAACAACCAAATAACCGCTGATCTATTCGTTTTCACATTTAACACAATTAAAGGACGCAATTGATAATGAAGTAACATAATTATAATACAAATAATAATATTAAAATGATATATGAAATAATATATAAATTATAACTTACGTAGCATCCAGCGTGCAAATTGGGAGCGGGCGGACGGAGGTTTGCAATCTTTATTTCATATTTATTTCAAATAGGTTTTTAATAATTTCTAAAATATTAATTTTAACGTATAATTAAAGCTCCAATGTAAGAAACGAACAATGAAATATAAAATAACATACACATTCTAACTTACGTAGCATCCAACTGCCTCAAAACACCTAAAATTACTATTAAGAAGCGCAGCATTTTTAGAGCGGGCGGCTAACTTTGACACCCAATTACTCCAAAAATACTCACATTTTCGAGAAATTCAACATGACCTTACTTTAAAATCTGTCTTTGATAAACAAATTTAATTAAGAAAAAAATGTAACTTCATAATTGGAGTTGTAGAAAGACACCAAAAAAAGGTTGAATTTTTTCCATTTCAGAAAAATCAGAGTTTTTAACCAACATAGAACCTGCACCATTTTCTTAAACTTCCTTCAGACCAATAAAATTTGATCAAAACGATTAAGGCGTTCCTGAGAAAAAATTGTTTAAACAAAAATTAAAAATTGCCTATATTTCATGTAATATCACGTGAAAAATACTCACATTTTTGAAAAATTGTACATGACATTATTTCAAAATCTATCTTAAAGGATCAGATTTCATTAAAGGAAACATCTCTATCTTTAATATTTTAGTTGTAGAAAGACGACGAAAATAAGTTTGTATTTTTGTAATTTTGGAAAAATCAGAGTTTTTAACCAACATGTTACTTCCGCCACTCTCTTCTTCCTCTAGACTATTCAACAACAAAATTTAGTACAAATCGATTTTTTTTTTTTTTTTTTTTTTTTTTTT